CAAGACTCCGTCTCAAAAAAAAAAAAAAAAAATTTGTGGGGAAATCCAGAAACTTAGGTACTTAGGAGATAAAAGGTTCCAGAAGAAATTAGGGGCTTGCTGTCAATGATAAGACTTGAAGTTATAATATGAAAGAAAGCTTGAGATGTGAGATTCAGTGGTCTCCTGGAGATGCAGGTGAGGACAGAGGAAAGAGGGTAGAAATCAGGGCAAACAGCTTAATCTCCCCATTTGTACAATGTGGGTAACAATACGGTCCTTTTAAAGTCGTTGTGGGCTAGGCATGGTGGCTCATGCCTATAATCCCAGAATTTTGGGAGGCTGAGGCAGGTGGATCTCCTAAGTTCAGGTGTTCAACGCCAGCCTGGGCAACATGGCAAAACACTGTCTCTACAAAAAATACAAAAAAATTAGCTGGCTGTGGTGGCATGTGTTTGTAGTCCCAGCTACATGGGAGGCTGAGCTGGGTGGATTGCTTGAGCCTGGGAGGTGGAGGTTGCAGTGAGCCAGAGATCAGGCCATGGCACTCCAGTATGGGAGACAGAGCGAGACTATGTCTCAAAAAAAAAAAAAAGAAAAGAAAAGAAAAAGAAAGTCATTGTGAAGATTAAATGAATTAACGTATGTAAAGCACCAAGAACATGGCCTGGACTATTGAAAGTGATCAGTAAGTGCCAGTGATTATTATTTTTTTGACATAATCAGCAATAACATGTCATAATTTTGAATCGTATGTTATGAAAATACAAGTCTAAATCTGAACTTGTCTTATTCATAGGGGTACTATGTGATTTTGTAGGTTCTGTGAGTAGAGGAACTTGCCAAAATATCCTTTTCCAAAACATCTTACAAATATACTCATCCATTACAATACCTGATAATCTGCCAGCAGAAATACGTTAAGGCTTTGGGGGTTTTAGTTTCTTTATAAAATACTAATGCTTTAGGAATAGAGTTCTCTCTTCCATTTTTTAACCATAAGCCCCTTGTCATGGATTAGCTGACCACACCAGGAAGGGGAGATAAGGATTGAGCAAACATTGGACAGGTGAGAAGGAAGGTTCTAATCATCTGTTTGGGGAGCAGAGGGAGGCCTCATGTGGAGTCTTCAGGGCCCTTTGGAAATTAGGGATAATTTTAGTTTTAAGAAGGGAAAAAGAGGCCGGGCGCGGTGGCTCATGCCTGTAATCCCAGCACTTTGGGAGGCCGAGGCGGGCGGATCACAAGGTCAGGAGATCGAGACCACGGTGAAACCCTGTCTCTACTAAAAATACAAAAAATTAGCCGGGCGCGGTGGCGGGCGCCTGTAGTCCCAGCTACTCAGGAGGCTGAGGCAGGAGAATGGCGTAAACCCAGGAGGCGGAGCTTGTAGTGAGCCGAGATCGCGCCACTGCACTCCAGCCTGGGCGACAGAGCGAGACTCCGTCTCAAAAAAAAAAAAAAAAAAAAAAAGAAGGGAAAAAGAGAAGCTAGCTGAACAGCAGAGGAGCATGGAGGAGACACAATTGTTTACTTTACAGTATTGTTTAGGGTCAATCATGTTAATAAAAAGAGTTGCTGAAATGGCTGAGAGTTGCAGTCAAGTCTGGATGATTTTTTTTTTGAGACAGAGTCTTGCTCTGTCGCCCAGGCTAAAGTACAGTGGCATGATCTAGGCTTACTGCAACCTCTGTCTCCCAGGTTCAAGCGATTCTCGTGCCTCAGCCTCCCGAGTAGCTGGGATTACAGGCGGGCGTCACCACGCCCAGCTAATTTTTGTATTTTTAGTAGAGACAGGGTTTCACCATTTTGGCCAGGCTGGTCTTGAACGCCTGACCTCAAGTGATCTGCCTGCCTCAGCCTCCCAAAGTGTTGGGATTACAGGAGTGAGCCACCACACTAGGCCAAGTGTGGATGATTTGGCTCACCCTGTCTAAAAAATTTTAAGTTTATAAGCCCTGGAGCATTTTATATAAAAATAATTATTGACATGAATACAGAAGAGAACATCCACATATATTTCCATTTTTTGTTTGAAGTTAAAGCCGACAACAGTCAGAATGCATGACTCTCTTGGGCTGCTGATTTCAAGCTTGCAACTGTTTCCTAGTAATGTGGGGGGCCTGTGCCAAGTCATTGAAGGTTATTGCTGGTAGGGTTTCTCCCTAGACAGGAAATAGTTCATTGGAGCTTTAGTGCTGCAGAAACCAACACAGGTAGGTAAAAATGTTTTTATAATTGCCACTAGGAAAAAGAGAGGGCCCAGGAGGTACTCTTCTGCCCAATGGAACCCGTCCCTGGTTATAACCTAATTTGTTGTGTGTATGTGGACCAGATGGGTGGAATTAAACCTTCTAAGGTATTGTGGTTAGATTGCCAAGGTATTGTGGTTAGATGTGAAAATGACCAGCGATTCCAAGAAATGTAAGAAATTCTCTTTGTCTCTCAAAGGACCATTCTCTTGTGGTTCAAATGTGGGCTTTTGAAACAGAAACAATAACGTCTGTGGCTATAAGGTGGGGTCTGTTTGTTTCCCTTTTTTCTCTATTGGGGTGTACATGAAGGTGTTGAAATTGTTGGCTTCATGTTTGTGTTTTGATAAAGATGGCTCTAAGGTAGCAGGATAGGGCACTAGAAGCTAACTAGTCATCAAAGAAGATCCTTGTTTTCCACAGAACAGTCTACCCTGGAGAACTGGCTGTTCCAACCTTCCTGTTACACTCATTCAGAGCATTCATACATCTCTCTGTCGATGGTGCAATAAAATAGACTATGGAAAAATCTCAGGAGGTTTCCTAAGTAGTTGAAAGGAGGCAGGGCAAAAAAGTTGTAGTATAGGCAAGAGGAAGGTACAACTAACTAAAATGAACTTCAAAATGCGAGAAATAAATGCAAGCATCATCTGAAATTGTTCTCTTAAGTCAGCTCTAACAGTTTCTTATCAATAGATAAGGATAGGAGCTGAATTATCTTGAAACTGTGATACAGTGGTCAGAAAGTTAAGAAGATAACCCCTCTCCGACACCCTTGGCACAAAACCAGGGCATATCTATACCTGGAACATAACGTGTTGTACTGTTTGTTGAGCTTCAAGAAAAGTCTAACGAGGTTAGAAGCAGTTAATAGGAGGACATCTGAAAAGATCAAGGAGATTAGGTGTTCCCTATTCCTTTCATGAGGAGATACTGAAATGGCAGAATTCTGCAGCGAACATCCAATGAGAGATGGTGATTAGCAAGCCGAGGGGATAGGCCTCAGAAGAAACCAGACCTCCCCACACTTTGATCTCTGACCTGGGCCTTCAGAACTTTGAGAAAATAAGCTTCTGTTGTTTAAACTACCCAGTTTGCAGTATTTTGTTATGGCAGCTCTAGTTGAGTAACACACATGAGAATACATATGATCAAATGACTTAAAATTATTAAGGGTCTAGAAAAGAATGGAATCATCTCAGAATACCTCTAGGTCAGGCCTTCTTAAAGCAAGGTCTGCATACTACTTGCATCAGAATCACCTATGATGCTTTTCAAAAAGCAGGTTCTCAGGTCCAGTGGACCTGGATTATTAAAATGTTCTGGTATGATGCCTAAGAATCTGTCTCTTTGGTAGACACTTCAAGTGTTGTTTTTGTACACTAAAGAGCCAGAGGTCCTGCCCAACCTCTGGCTCTTTTCTGAGCCTGAAAATGAGTTCTGGGCCTGGTACTAATTGCATTTCATCAAGTGCTGCTTGTGTCTGGTCCTCTGGCAGATGGTCCCTGATCCAGGAATCACGTGTAAATCCCATTGTAGGTTATCTCTCTCCAGGTGTCAGCCAACGTTTATGCAGCATGTTGGAAAACTGAATGGGATGGACCAGATGGAATCCTTAGAGTTTATTCTTGATTCTGGAAATAAATATGTGCCTCACCTATCTTACTTAAGAATGACATATTTTGAACAATAAAGTATATATATTATCTCTCTCATGAGATTTATTTAAAGATCTTACTACCTTGTCAATAGAGAATGTAAGGAATAGAATGGGGCGTATCTTTCCGGAACTGAAATTAGAGAAAGTTGAGAGTCCACAGCAAACCCTGTGATGAACATTTTCAAAGCAGGCAGAATACGTGGCATTCTGATTCAAATATGGCAGTTCCCTAAGGAGTGTAAAATCTGCCTGCCCCTACCCCCTCCATTTACAAATGTGCTTAAGGGACACAAGGTTTTATAAACAGGGTTTTTAAAAACTGAAATCTAGGCAGATCATTTAAGAATGTTCATGGGTAGGTCAATGGACTATTTCTCTATTTTCTTTCAGGTGGTCCAGCCTTTGAACCAGAATGCAGCTGTAGTATCCCAAGTGACGGGGTCTGCCTAGGAGTTCCCATGGCCACCGTTTTTTGTGGTTTAGGTTTTTCTTTTTATTGGTGGGGCGGGGGGCGGGTGAGTACTTACTTAAACCTAGGCACTTGGCTGTTTTTTCCTTCTTGACTAGCCAGATTTCAGTTTCTCTGTGTAGGCCATTCATTCCCACTGAATTTCTTGGTGGGGTGGTGGGGGCGGGGGCGATGAATGGGAAAGCGGAATTGCCATTAATGTTCCAGCTGCTTTCCTGAAACAAGACTTTTGACCCTAAAAAGAATGAATTTGAAACTCTAGACAATAATACTCCGCAGAGGTTAAGAAGAAAAGCCATGAGTGCAACTGGGTTTCATTAAGAATGATCAAGAGGACATTTAGTCTTCAAGGAGACAGGTTCCTAGTTTGGGCAGAGAAGAGAGCCCTAACAATGAAAGGCGGCCGTGTTGGCTGAAAGGGGGCTCTCAACTGAAACCAAGGCACTCCCGGGGTGTGAGGATGGGTGTTCATTCCTAGACATTTCCGAGCGGCCCTTTCCCTCAGTATGTTCTGGACTCATTGAGGTCCTGGCCGAGCGTCCAGGTAGCCCCGAGGGCCCCGACTCCCTGGCGAAGGGGTAGGGGGCGCGGGCCAAGCGAGGCAAGCGGGCCAGGCAGCTGCGGCCGCGCTTTCCTTAGAGGGCGCTGTGGGGGCGGCTCCGCCGCAGTCCCGACTCCCGCCGCTTCCTCCCGCCGCCCCTCCCCGCCAGTCCCGGCGAACGCGGCCGGGCCCTTGGGAACCGAGTCTCGGCGCCACCGGGGAACGGGCGCGGGCCGCGCCACAGCCGGAGCGGGGCAGGGCCCCGCCGCCGCCTTCTTCCGCCGGCTCCGCCGCCGGCCATGCATTCTTCCGGCTCCTCTGACTCCCAAAGCCCCGGCCGGGGCCCGGCCAGCCCGAGGTAACCCCCGGCTCGGCGGCCGCAGGCCCCGGAGCGGCAGCGAAGCCGAACCAGGGGAGGCGCTGGGGGCGGGAAAGGGGGTGTCGCCGTCGCGTGGCCCGGGCAAGCGGCAGCGGCCTGAGGGACGAGGGCGCGGTAGGCCCCGGGGAGGAGGCGGGGGCGCGGGGCATCCGCCCGCCTCCCTGGGACCCGCCCCGGTGACAGGTCCGGCCTCTGAGTCCCCGCCGTCCCTCTGTCCGCAGGCAGTCGCGAGGGGAGTAGGGCGCCAGCGCGCCCGCTCGCGCCGCTCCTCGGGCCGCCTGGGTCGCCGCCGCGTCCATGACCGCGACCCCTCGGCGGGGGACACCCGCCCCCGCGCTCCGCAGCCGCCCGCCGTCCGCGCCCGCCGAGGTGAGCCCAGCGCGCGGGCCGCGCCCGCCGCCACGACCCTTCCACATCCGCGGAAACCGCTGCAGGCTCCACCGGCCCCCCCGCGCTGCGGTCGCCTCTTCTTCTTTGCTCCTTTCATCATCCCTCGCTTCCCTGCCCTCTGGTCGGAGATCTCATTCCCTTCATCCCCAGTTCCTTGGCTTTTACCTCTTTCTGGCTTTTGCTCCCCTCCCCCTACTCCTGTCCTTCCTCTTTTTCGCCTTATAACCCCCTACTTTCTTCCTCTCACCTTTTAAGCTTTTTTTTCTAGGCCCCCCATTTTTTTCTTTAAAAAAAAAAGGAAAAGAAAAACCCTTTTGCTACAAATGAGAATTTTGAGGGTAACTCTTCGCTAGAGCCAGAGACCTTTTAAAGGACTGCATCAGTGTGCAGGAATTGTGGTGGTGAGGAGACCGAGGTCCTCAGTATTTGGGAAATCTGATCGAGAGGACTCTGTTTCAGTCATGTCCCTCATGTCTTCAGTTTGGATATCATGAGGGTGTCTGAAGCGAGTGGATCTATTTTTCTAAGTCCAATAGACGACTGCAGTGAGACACAGTGCGGGGACGGTCACCAATTACTGAATGGGAATTGTGTTATCATTTGCTAAATATATTGTGGCATACTCCGTGCCTCGGTGAACAGCTCCCTTGACCTTGTGCGGCTCCTCCTCCCTAGCTCTCTGTCCCCCTCTGGAATTTCCCCTGAGAGATCACCGAGGTCCTACACCCGGAAAGCTTCGACCCTCGCTTTTTTATTTTGTGCTGGGGGCAATTTCTATGTTGGTGACTGTTTAGATATGTTTCATGCATTTTCCTTTTTAAGTTAATTTTCTTTCACCCCAGAAAGACAGGACGGAGTCCAATGTGAGAATGGCTATGACTTTGGAAGAAGCTCCGTGGCTGGGCTGGCTCTTGGTGAAAGCACTGATGAGGTTTGCCTTCATGGTCGCCAACAACCTGGTTGCTATTCCATCCTACATCTGCTATGTAATTATACTCCAGCCCCTTCGAGTGCTGGACAGTAAGCGGTTCTGGTATATCGAAGGAATCATGTATAAATGGCTTTTAGGAATGGTGGCTTCCTGGGGATGGTATGCTGGATATACAGGTAAGAGTGAGAACACTTTTGTTTAATGCATAAGAAAAAATCTGTCAGGAGCCATGATTAAATATATATTACATTTTGGGTTCAGGTTGCTTTCATGTCTTCACTGTTGAAAAAAAATAAAAAGAAAACAATTCTATTGGGTTTCTCTTCAGAATCTCAGGAAGACTGATGTTTTCAGAAGTATAATTTCATAATTGTGTATTGGTAAATTTCAAAATGTTTTTACTGTGATTGACATACATTGATGAAAACTGGTCTGCAAAAGCTCTGGTAGAGGAATAGGAGTGCATTGCATAGGACTTGAGAACTTATAAAGTGAAGATGTAAGATATTTCATCTATTTCATGGAGGATGCCCTTGGAAATGTAGAAAAATGATGGAACCATATTTGTGCTAAGATAGTTTAATAAGTTTCTTCATCATTTAATGTGATATTGTACTGTTCGCATTTTGAGCAAGCAAAATGGCTTTATTTTCTCTTATGTATGTTTTGTTTACTAGAATCTATATTTTATCTCATAAATCTGAGAGTATTAAATATAAAAAATAAAGTTAACTTTGTTAAGCTAATTTATCTTCTGAGTGTCTTTAAATAGATTGTAATTTCTGCCTTTAAATTGCATTTGGGGAAGCAAGAGTAACACTATTCAGAAGTGGACTTTTATAGAACTAAATGAGAAGTGTTTATTTTCTGAGGTAAACCTTATATGCTTTGAGAACTTATGCCCTTGCTGTGAAAATTCTGTATCATTTATTGTATTTATTTGATTTTTTTCCCTTAAGAATTAAGATAATGAAAAAAATCATAGAGGTTTTTTGCACTTGTCAGATGTGGAGGCTTTTAGCACAGAAATTTCTACCTGGCAGGCTCCTTGGAGATCATGCAGATGCTGTGGTCAGTGGAGGCTGTAGTTCATAGCTTGGCAGAGTGAGGAGGGGTACTCCCAGGGTCAAGCAGTATGGCGGTTCTCCATTTGAAATTCTGTCTCCCTCTTTCCTACCCAGGCTGCACCTGCACATTTTATCCACACACACAAGAGAAGGACTGATAGTATACAGCTTTTGTGGAGTCTGACAGACTCTTGCTATGTCTGAGTGCTCTCAGTTGCCCCAGATGAAGCCTTTTCTCCTTCCAGCAGTGCCATTTATTATTATGCAAGTGCTGAAGCCCCTGGGATAGTGTATGCATTGATTCCTTGTCATCTGTCTTGTTGAGATTCTAGTGCTTTTTGGATATAGTAGGTGAGCTTCTAGCCCTTTTTTAGGGCTTGGTGGTGGCAATAGCAGTAATAGAGAAAAAATGAAGTTCTAGTCTATGGTGCTGAATTCTTACCTGAATTGCACTGCTGTCTTAGAGTTGCTTGGCTTGGTATAGTTTGAGCGTTCCCAAATATATGTTATATGGTACTAGTGGCTTTATTCTTGTATAGTATACTTAAGTTTGCTTGTTTTAAATTAGCTTATAGTATTTTCAGAAACGTGTTCTAGAAGTTCATTCTGCTTAACAATGAAATTACTGAAATGTTTGTGCTTGTGTATAGTGTATTTAAATGTTAGCATGATGGGAAGGTAAAATTAATTTGGCATTGACCTTGAGATTAGGAGTGCAGTGGCGCTGCTTGAAGTCAAAGTTAGTTATCCTATGGCCATAGCATTTTTAAGCATGTATTTTTAAGCATATTTTCTTGGGGTGTCTCTTCCTTGCTGACTATAGAACTGTGTAATTTCTTTTGCCACCTGCTTGGAATGTGGTCTTGGCATGATCTGCATATTTTAGTCTCTCTGAAGCATCTGCTCTTCTTCAGGCTACTGAATTTTGACAATTTGATCAGTTTGTCTTATTTAAATATAGACTGTTTTAATATATGTATTTTAAAAGGTTTTCCTATAGGTAGAATACTTGATTTCAGAGGGCCTGGTCATAGTCTGATCATAACAGAAAATAGTCAAGAAGTTACACAAATATAGGAATGAATTTGGTTGAAAACCTCAGCTGAATTTAAAGAAGCACATGTAAGCAGAAGTTGATGAACAGGTGTACCCATAAAACAATCTCAGGGGTTATATTAGCCTTTCTTTAGATAATATATTTCACTTCTTCCCTTTACATCAAAAGGAGGGTGGGCTTGTGAAGTTCTTTTTTCCCTATGCCCAAGTTTCACAGATGGAAAATTGAACATTGCCAAAGGAATTCTGCTCCGCAGATTAAGTATGTTCATGTTTTAGAATAAAAATTGCCAAAACTTTGTTGTAAAACCACTTATGAGGAAACCTTAAATACTAATTAGGAAGCTAAAAATTGAATATTGGTATATTGGTATAGAATATATATATATTTTTTCCAAATTATGACATTCAGTGTAATATGAGTGAATTCTCAGCTCTGCTGATGAGGACTATGCTGATTATCTAACCTGCACAGCCCCATATAGTAGCCACTGGCTGCATGTCACTATTTAGATTTAAATTAATTAAAATGAAATAAGATTTAGCATTTAGCTCCTCAGTCACACCAACCAGATTTCAAGTGCTCAGTACTAGGTGGCTAGTAGCCACCTAGTTGTTGTATGGACAGTGCAGGTACAGAACACTTCTTTCATCACAGCAAGTACTATTGAACAAAGCTGATATAGTAAGCATGGTTTTCTTTTCTTAGAGAAACTAAATTTTATCTTTATTAAAAAATCTTTCCTTAGTTCTAAACAGATTTCTTTTGTAAAAGACAAGAAGTTTTATTAAAGTTTTATTAAACTGTCTCTTAAGTCATCACAAAAATGAGCCCTTTAAATTCATACATGCTTCTTGGATGGGGAATGGTGAGGCCAGTAAGCCCAAGAACGTAAATGAACATTCTTGTACTTTAGTTTGCATTTTCAGAGCTGGGGAACTGTCTGTAGACACAGAAGATGGAAAAGGGATTTTCTGGTCTGTTTCTGACTTTAAGTTACATATTTTAAAAAGTACTCTGAAGACACTGGGGTTTGTTCATCCCTGGCTTGCTACTAAAGTAGTAATGATTGTTGTTTTCACATTTTCCTTTTTTTTTTTTTTTTTTTGAGACGGAGTCTTGCTCTGTTGCCCAGGCTGGAGTGCAATGGCGCAGTCTCGACTCACTGCAACCTCCACCTCCCGGGTTTAAGCGATTCTTCTGCCGCAGCCTCCTGAGTAGCTGAGACTACAGGCGTGTGCCACCACACCCAGCTAATTTTTGTATTTTTAGTAGAGATGGGAGTTTCACTATGCTGGCCAGGCTGGTCTTGAACTCCTGACCTTGTGATCCGCCCACGTTGGCCTCCCAAAATGCTGGGATTACAGGCGTGAACCACTGTGCCTGGCCTGTTTTTACATTTTCTTTAGTAGGAAGTGCTGTACAGATATCTCATGCTGAAATAACATTTTATATTGCCTTTGTCTTAATATTTCAAGGGCAAACCAAAAGAGATACTAGCTTAACTAATGATCCACTGCTGCATGCTTTATTTGGATCTAGGATAAATCAGTACCCCACCCCCCCGGAGTTTAAGTGACGACTGGCAAATTTGAGAGAAAGATTTCATACCAAACAAAATATATTCTATTTATTTAAAATGGTTGATTTTTATTTTCATTTACTTGTTTTAGTAAAGGAATTGTCATCCAAACACATTTAATTAAAGTCTCAGCCAGGCACAGTGGCTTCTGCCTGTAATCTCAACAACTTGAGGAGCTGAGGTGGGAGAATCACATAATCCCAGGAGTTTGAGGTTACAGTGAGCTGTGATCATGCCACTGCACTCCAATCTGGGCAACAGAGACCCTGTCTTTATTTAAAAAAAAAAAAAAAAGACTGTGCATGAAATACTTTAAAAATATTTATTGTTAATAGAAACTCCAGAATTTTTATTTTTGTATAGGATGAGAGCCATGGGCCAAAGTCTGACTGGAAGGGAGCTGGGGTACCAGGGGACTTGCTGCCAACCTGTTTTTGTGTAGCAAACAGTTTTCCTTAAATTGAGCATTATTTGGGGAGGCTTTAGGGAAAACTGATGGCGATTACGTTTAGTTACCTCCTACTCCCCAACTGACAGCTGCTATGTCTTTCTGGGTTATTTGATTATTTGACAGTGTCCTGCTTTTTGGGGAGGGATGCATATTCATTGTGTGACAAAAAATAATTTTTAGGAATTATTTCTGACCTTGAAATTCTACAGAAAGTTTCAAAAATGTATTTCAAGAGCAATATCTTATAACCTTCGAGCCATAAAAGCAATTTAGTATGTGAAGATGAACATTTTAAGAATGTGAAATAAAATAGAATTCAATAGAATATATTAGAAGTGCATGTGTTTATACTGAGTGGTGCTGCAGAATGTGTTTTTTACTATGAGTACAGTCAACATTTGAGAGGCATTGTTCTAATGGAAAGAGCACTGGGATTTTGGAAAACTCTGGGAGTCGGTGGTCTAGCTTTAACTTTAAATCTGTTCTCACTGGTAGGGGTAAGATCCTTACCTACTCTGTGCCCACTGGATGGATCTTCTTTATAACCCCAGGGTCTGATTTGTTACCTGATGCTTACAGAGTACTCAATAAGTGTCTAGTTCTTGAATGATCCTTTCTTATTTTTTTGTGAGACAGTCTCATTCTGTTGCCCAGCCTGGAGTACAGTGGCACAGTCTTGGCTCACGACAGCCTCTCTCTCCCAGGTTCAAGCGATTCTCATGCCTCAGCCTCCCGAATAGCTGGGATTGCAGGTATCCACTACCGAGCCTGGCTAATTTTGTATTGTTAGTAGAGACAAGGTTTCACCATGTTGGCCAGGCTGGTCTTGAACTCCTGACCTCAAGTGATCCACCCGCCTTGGCTCCCATAGTGCTGAGATTACAGGCGTGAGCCACTGCACCAGGCCAAATGTTCTCTTTTCCTTTCCTGGTTCTGAGATTCCCTAGCTGCCTACCTTTCTGAAAGGTCTATTATCAAGGTCATTGCAATCCACAAAATATGAAACCTTGAATCACATC